TATTGTTGTTTTTAGTTTTGCACATTGAATTGTTTGTTGCTCTTCAACTTATTGTTTTTGATTGACTTCTTTAATAGTATCTCCACCCTAGTATAAAAGAGGGATGAAAAATACCAGAGGGACAGTCAAACTCATAGATCGAAAACAAACTGACAACGCCATGGCCAAAAATAAAAAGACAAACAGACAAATAATAGTACAGATGACACAACATAGAAAACCAAAGACTAAGCAACACGAACCCCACCAAAAACTGGGGGTGATCTCAGGTGCTCCGGAAGGGTAAGCAGATCCTGCTCCACATGTGGCACCCGTCGTGTTGCTTATGTTATTACAAATCCGGTAAATAGTCTAATTCGGTAAGTCACATTCGTGAAAAAGGAGGGTATTGTAGTTACGACATAAGGAACATATCCGATATCATCTGTGAAACGGTTATTCCATATAAGTGTTATTTAATCTATATCCTGTTTACTCTCAGAGAGATTTAGAAAGTGACATATAGGAAAGATACTTGTCTCTTGTTGACTACCGTACCAAGGGCTTTACTCAGTTTATCTGTGAATCTGGTCTTAAGTACCTACATACATATGTTTGACTTCCCCGGAAAAAAAAATTATGCAGTTTGGAAGACGAGAATTCAAATGTCTGCCAAGGAGTTCGAAATTTAATCAGACCATGTTGAAACTCAAATATCGGAGTATAGTTAGGAACCCCAATAAACGGCCCTGTAAAGGTGCATTTTTAAAACTTCGATTGTTCTAGTAAATCTACTGTAAATGAATTGCTAAATTTATTTTTTTGAAAGTATAATAAGAAAAAATGTATATCTGCTTAATAGGTTATAAGTATATTAGCCTGAAATAGGTATAGATTTCATTTTAGTCCATTTTTTCTAGAAATTCGTCATCTTTTTCGACCTTATTTCATGATTTCATATGTGGCTCCACCCCTCGCCCATTGAAATTTTTATTGAAAAGTAAAAAAATATGTATATTTAAAATATTTCAGCAAAAATATGTGTGGGCGAGGGGTGGCGCCACTGTTAATTTTTCAGAAAACTGACATTAATTTCACCAAATTATACCAAAAATCAGGCGTTCACAAATTCTCCTACATTTATGACGTCAAAAATACATCACTCATGAAGTAATTGGTGAAAAATATTTCATGACTGAAACAATTAGACATTTTAACGTATGCTTCCATATAATTTTCACATCATCGCAGTTAAAAAATTTCAGGTTTTTAGGACCTAAATTATGAGTTGGTGAACCAGCTCCTTTCTCAATATAAATTATTGTCTTTTCTAAACGTATTAAAAATCCCAAAGGCGAATAAATGTGACTTATTTGTAATGATTTAGCATCATAAGACGAATTATCTATAATCAAATATTAAATTTTGGAGTTAAAAAGGGAGCTACATGTAACATCCCATTCTGCTACACTCCTCCTCCCTTACACAGGGAAATTTCACTCATATGAATTTAACGTGAATTTCACCTCAGACGAGCTTATACGTGAAACTCACCAGAAACTCATGTGAATTGCACGTAAAATTCACTTGATTTTTTTCACGTGAAATTCAGGTGAATTTGAAAAATAACCTTATTCAAATAATATCTAAATTTTCAAATTTAATTAAAATCATGAAAAATACGTGTTTTTTGTTTGGAAAAGTTAACATGAGGTTCATGTGAATCTCAATTAACGTAAAATTCACATGAAAATTTTCACATGATTTTCATGTATAAGCTCGTTTGAGGTTAATCTCACGTGAAATTTTTGACGTGAACTTGCCTGTGTACGTAACAGATATTAATGAAATAACATTTGACAATAAAATTAAACAAAATACATGTCCATTATATAAAATGTCTTTTCCTTTCACATGTAACATTATCCCTTAAAAAATGTCACTGTAAATCACAAGCACACATCAGAATCAGGTTCATCTGTTAACGGACGCAATCTTTAAGTTTTCTCTGTATGTAGTCTTCAGTGGTATTACGAATACGCCAACATAACAGCTAATGATAAAATTTATGAAAAGTTGTTCCAGGCATTGTCCACCAATGTTGATCTCACAGTGGCACAATTGACGTGCACCACCGGGTTCTATTACTGCACTCCAAAGTCGTTGATAACGGTAACACAGACGTTGTGCCACCGAAAGAAAGCGCCATACAGCTGAAAAAAATATACTGTGTTTGATCCGCGCAGAAGAACTAATCTTCTATTGTTTTGTTGTACCAGGCAATGTCCACAAATGTTGATCTCACAGTGGCACATTAGTCGTGTACCACCGGGTTCTGTTACTGCATTCCAACGTTGTTGAAAACGGTAGAACAAATAGTGTGCCACCGGAGGTGGATCGGGTACATCTGTATGCAAGGTTCTCTAAATAAGGTTGGACGATGCACAGCTTTCTTGCAAAGTTCTCAAAATAAAGATGGACGATGCCCAATTTTGGCGCAAGGTACTAAATTATGGATCGGGTCCATCTGTATGAGCTAGAAGTGTTCCTTACTTCAAGCTTAACTTTCAATCTATTGGTTTCTGCCATGACTTAAAAAAGTCAAAAAGTCGGACTTCCATAAACTCTCTTAATACTAAATATTTAGCTAGAGATTACAATCCATACAAATGAGCAACAACTCATAAAACAAACCAGTTCCTACTACTACTAGCTAACGTTCTACACTTCAAACCACACAGAAGATCAGCCATAAAATAGGTAATAGAAATAAAAAAGTATAACAAGGTGAGATGCACGACATCCCTCAATTTTTTTGGGGGGGGGGGGGGGGGGGGGAACAAACAAACCAAACTGAAGTGAGTGGAATCACTGAGTACATTGGAATAGACCTAAAGTAGTACTAGAATAAAATACGATATATACAGCACTATGTAAAACAAACATTAAAAAAGGTAAAACAGTCCGAACTAAAATATTGGTGTTTCAAATCATTCTTTAATAACTCATCTCTTTTTGAGAATTTCACTTGACTATAAGCAGACCTTTTACCTGTTGCATGAACTTTGATAGACAAATTGAACACTTAGCCCTGACATGACCTGCCCGGTGACATTTAAAATACTTCTTAGGTTAATGATTCCTACGTCATCTCACTCGTCTCCTTTAAAACATTAATAAAAATTTCAAGACTTTTATTCACAGTATGACAACAATCTGAACTATATGACTTATCCATAGACTTACGAACACCAGAGAAATGTAAAGCTTCATATTCAATAGTCAGTGATAAAGAGTTAAATCACAAAAATACTGAATTCCGAGGAAAATTCAAAACGGAAAGTCCCTAATCAAATGGCAAAATCAAAAGCACAAACACATCAAACGAATGGACAACAACTGTCATATTCCTGAATTGGTACAGGCATTTTCTTATGTAGAAAATGGTGGATTGAACCTGGTGTTATAGCGCTAAACCTCTCATTTGTATGACAGTCGCATCAAATTCCATTATATTGACAACGATGCGTGAATAAAACAAACAGACATAAAAGGTAAAAAATGTGAAAATAGGGTTACAGCAGTCAACACCGTGTCACAATCTTAATCACAACAAAAACAAACAAATATTTAACAAAGAAGCACAAAAAAACATTTATCACATTTAAAAACCTCGTTCATTGCTTACTTATCTTTATATTTTATTCATGTATGCCAAATCAACCCATAAAGGATCGAGGGATTTTAAGCACTGGGACCGAATCGTATTTTTAACATTAACTCTGGCGTAGAATCGCGTGTTTGACGTCAGAATGTAAACGTCACACAGGTATAGATATAAAATAATTTGTCGTTCATAGTATGCAAAAATTATAATAGAACAATAATACAATGGCGGGATGTTTATAGTACAGAAACACGTCATATGTATCAAAGAAACATATAAAGTCACACGGACAAAGCACATAAGTAAAAATAAAAAACAAAACAAACAACACAATGACGGGATGCATAAGTACAGAGCCACGTCAAATGTATATCACCAAAAACAGACCAAATAGTAAAAGTAATATTAATAAAGACAAATTAAAGAACACTTTTACACGTTATTAAGATAATCAGTACGCAGAATCTATACTTTAAGACCATCATGTATTATTTGTGAAGTTGATACGGAATATTTATCAACAAGGTCTTGGTACCTTCCGGTGAACTTTTTTTAGAAAAAGGACGAGACGTTCTTTGACATACCCCTGGTTCATCAACTTTCTGCTCAGACACTGGTGACGTTTTACAAAGTCTGAGTAGGAGCTGCAAGCTCTTGCATACCACTCATCTAAATAATGAAGGCGCCTGAAAATGACAAAATTAGCCATCTCAATGTTCAAACATGAAGTAAATAAATCAGTAAAATACAACTCTAAATCTGAAAATTTATCAGGATAAGCCTAATTTGTGCTAGTATCTTAAAACAATGACCAAACTCAGAAATTTATTCAATTTCCGTTTTCTTCAAACTACAAACTCTCAGTTGAAATTTAAAATATGCCACCCTCTCATTAGGATTGACCCTTTGAATGAGTACATTTCTCAAGCAGTCAAAATCGTACAACTTTGGTCTTTTTAAGAACGTAAAACAGTTTGAGAATCACCTCCCAAGTGCATAACCAGCTGACATGCCATCTCAAAATCTATCCACTGATTCCAAAGAGAAACTGTCTCAAAAATCTCTGTGATATCAATACTAATTAGCACCGTCAAATGAACATGGCTTTTCCTCAAATCGAAGCATTACTGATAAATTTTTATGATATTTTTAAGTTGCTCCATTTCAGTTCTTAGTAATAAACTAACAAAGTTGCTTTCAAAACTGACCAAGTCGCCTCCCGGGACCAAAATGTAGCAGGAATAATTCTGCTGGGGATTTGGGGATGTGGACCACCGCCTATGGTAAATTGTGGACTGACTGACGATGGATGCCAAATGTAATTACGTTTAAATGATCTAAAATAAATGAAACGAAAACTAGAATATAATTTATATTTCAAATACAACTTTTAGCATGTTCACTCCCTAATTTATCGAAATGGAGCAATGAATGGAATTGTAGGTATGTTGGAGTTGCACTAATATTATTGTGGAATAGCACGGCTTTCCTCAAGGTCATTTTTATCTTTATTTAAATATTCAACATTTATATACAATAATTATTTTGCATATTACACAAGAATATTCACAAAACAAAGGTTAAATGTATAATGTCATATATCATCAACACAATAATCAAATATTGAATGCAATAACACCTTCAGTCTCTTGCACAAGTATATTGTCCTTTAAAGAGTATTTTTCAAAAACATTTCTCATGCATCTTACACCACACAAATATTCATACAGGTAAGTTATATAATATTTTAAAGTGTATCTAAATAAGATCAAAATTATTGTTTATATTTTTAGGTAAATTCCTTCTTTTGAAGATACACTATCTCGTTTAAGATAAAGAAAAAAACAAACCAATTACTTTTGGCTTCATTAAAAGAATGACATTTCATATATTCATTTGGCCGAAAACATAAATTATTTAACATACATGTCATTACATAAATGTAAAGAACAAATACTACTAAAGTTATAGCAAGGAAAATTGGAGTGAACACAAATAAAAAAATTAGGTAAGCGTGAATATCTAATGATCGGCCAAAGAGGAGTAACTAGAACAAATTTTAAAATTCCGTATCGTTATTACTGGTTCTTGAGAGAAAACAAACAAATAAAACATATATAAATCATTTTCATTTCGTTCCATTTATGATTTATAATGAAACATTGTCCAATGTGTACTAGACAACAAAAGACACGATTCTAGACAATAAGTTTTCCATATAATAATGAAATAGGATACACGAAACCAAGGTAAAACGATTGGTACATGGATTTATAAATGTCTGTCTGTCTGTATAACAATAATTACAAACATCTTTATTCAAATGCACAGTTATACTCGCGTAGATGAAAAAAAAAAAAAAATATGACAACACAGTACATAAGAATAATTAAAGTATATGGCATGATGTACATATGTTCTAATCATGCAGTTAATTGTCGAGTCAGCTATGAATGGAGCAGCAAAATGCTTAACTGACGGACACGAAAGGCGTAAAACCAATTTATCAAAATTATCCGCATTTGAAAAGGTACTTTTGATTTTCGTTGTAAAAATTAGAGTCTCAAGTTTTCTTTTTTTTTTAACATTTACATAAGAAATGTTCTGCTTCATATATTTTCTTTTTATATGTTGTAGTTTTATAACTAGGCAATGCGTTGTAATTAAAGGCAATTTTGTTTTATGAGTTGTTTTTCTGCTTTGTATCTATCGGATGAGTTAAGCTCTTTTCAACTGATTTTCATAGTTTTTCTTATATTTTACTGTTACACCACTGTCCCAGGTTATATGGAGGGTTTGGCGCCAGCAAACTAGTCTAACCCCGCCAGATTCTGTATGTGCCTGTCCCTGCCAGGAGCCTGTAATTCAGTTGTTGTCGTTTGTTGCTGTAGATCATATTTGTTTTTCGTTCATTGTTTTGTACATAAATCAAGCCGTAAGTTTTCTCGTTTGAATTGTATTACAGTTGTCATTTCGGGGCCTTTTATAGCTGACTATACGGTAGGGGTTAAACTTTTTGCTCATTGTTGAAGGCCGAACGGTAACATATAGTTGTTAAAAAATTGAAAAAACAACACGTTTAATAATTTCATGCGTCCGAAGAGCTTTTCTGGATTTACCTTCATTAGGAACGCTCAATGCCAAACATTTGAAATCCGAGGGGAAGCGCTTTTCTGAATTTACCTTCATCGGGAACGCTCAATGCCAAACATTTGAAATGTTAAGTTATATGTCATTTGGGCTCTGGTGGAGGGTTGTCTCATTGACAATCATACATATCTTCTTACTTTTTATAAAGAAAAAGAAATCTTCCTCCAACAATTTGAATACACCTAGTAAATACTAAATTGAATAGGCTACATGATGTACAGTTATATTCCTGCAAAAGAACTTGTATGTTCATTTAAATCTTGTGCTTAGTTTTAAAGGTTAAAAAATTATTTACTATTTACTACTCAATCGTGGATTTCGTAAGAATTGTATGTAACCGATATGTTCATGATGTTGTTGATAATGTATATAATTTAATAGTCATACAAATATTTGTGTTTACAATAACAAAGCTAAACAGTTCTCTTTGACCTAACTGTGTGTTGTAAAATTGATGAAGTTAGGTGAATGTTTGATTTCTTCAAAGGTGCAAAATGTACATGTATATGTATAGGGAATTGATTTTTTAGAAATATCCTTTTTCTATTGTTAGATTGTTTGATTGCTGAACACTGACTATGTGACCACTCACCAACAAGATAACTAAGTTGAACAAAATCACCTTCTCAACAGTTTTTGAAAACTTTTAACTCGTTTGCAGTGGCAACTTGCATGGAAAGTTATATGGATAAGTGTCCTGTTAAATACGTCTCTATAGTAATAAGGAAAAAAATACCCAAATATCTTCTTTTGTTCTTACAAAGTAAATATTCGTCCGCTATTTTCCCACAATGCATCTCGTTTACAAAAGAAAATATCGTTACTCCACATTACAAACTGATTTCTCGATTCGCACTTTCAATAGACTGATCTTTAGAAATTTTGGGTTCAATTAATTAGCGGTAAGAAGACTAAATTAGCGACATGAAGCGACAAGAAGACTGATTTAATGACAACAACAAAAATTAGCGTCAAGAAATCTTTCAATTAATTTTTTCAAATAAATAAAGAAAGGAAAATGCATATAATGTTATAATTAATATACATATGTTAAAGTGATTCTCATTATACGGATAGACCAACAAAATAAACCTTTGTTCAAGAAAATAGGGAATGTTTAGGTTTATGTTATCAAGAATATGATTAATGTATTTACTGTTTCCATCATGTTGCATAGATAAACGAATCGAGATTTATGTAGAGTCGGCATGATTCAATATCATCTCTTCAAATATTCAAACCAAATTTACATAAGGGAGCTTCCATTTGATTTTTAGGGGGGGGGGGGGGGGGGGGGGGGGCTAGGATGAAAAATTTTTTCCTGCATTTTTTTTAGTTGTAATCTCTGTCCTGCCTTTTTATTTTCACTCTATTTGGTCCTGCCCTTTTTTTTACTAGTAGTTTATCCTGACTTTTTTTACATAAATTGTCATCCTGCCTTTTTTTTGCAAAGTGTTTCATCCTGCCTTGTTTTTTTTACTCAAAACTCCTGTCCTGCCTATTTTTTTCAAATTTCATCCTAGCCCTCCCCTCCCCCTCCATAAAAATCAAATGGTAGCTCCCTAAGGTATACATCGATATTGAATATATTAATGATATGCTTTACTGTGCTGACAAAGAATTGAAGAGACAATTGCAATGTGTTGCTACTTGAATTTGGGTTCTTTCTTTAATGTTCATGCTTTGATTGTACTATTTGCTGTAATAAATATCATAAATATAAGTAGCAGTTAGACTATTTTTCAAAATGTGCGATGCTTTATTAATATATTTTTGACTTTACTATTGTTTTATTTCTATCAATTTCTCAAACATATAAGATAATATAAGATAAGATGAGATAAGATGAGATAAGATATTTTCCAAATTAGGTAGCCAGGGGGGCATACACATATAACAAATATATTCTTTACAACATACAGTATTTTACATGACATTCATATAATACACCTAAAATATTGATATAGAGTGATACATTATTGTATGTTAAATGTAAAAAAAAGTATTTAAGAGTTGCTACTCCAGAGATGTCGCAAATGTCCTCTCACTTGATTTCATATATACTAGTCAACAAAAGTAACGATACACAAGTTTGAACTCCAAGTTGTCATAAAATATTATAAATAGAAAAAACTCTTAAATCATCCAATGAAAAATATTCATTTGCTAAGCATATGCATATGATTAAAAGAATCTGACCAAATTGGAAAGTGAGAAAATACCGTGTTATTGAACATAGGGGTCAAATTTATTTTTGCGGAAAATGATGACAGAAGCCGGCACTTAATTTCAAAGATGCGAATGAAGTATTCAAATATCTGCAAAAGCATTCAAAAAATTTTAAGCAGACCATGTTTAAGTTTAAAGTTTTAAGTTCTTATATAGATTTTTGAATTTTTGGGTGAAAAAACGATTTTTGAAAAAGCAAAAATTTCAAAAAAAAAAATCGCGTATTTGCCTTAAATCAAAAGAAAATAACTCTCTTTAAATATTAGACCAATTGAGCAATTATTTACCTTGGTACAGTGTATCCAATTTCATTATATATGGAAAATACACTGCCTTGTATCGTTTCTTTTGTTGACTAGTATACATTGTTATAATTAACAGAAAATTGGTACAAAGTTTAGATAGCAACCACATTTGAAACTTTATGAAACAACAAATAATCAACTGTAATTCATTGACTTTTTCTATAATTTATTTGTTTTAATAGAATATCAACTTTCTTGTCGCTAAATTTGTCTTCTTGTCGCTAAATTTGTCTTCGTGTCGCTTAAGTTCTTCTTGTTGCTCATTAGTAATACCGGAAATTTCATCGACAAGCGAATATCAAGAATAAATTCCTTTACTTAGTTAGCTTACATTAGATTTTTATGATTCTTTAACAAAATGATTCCGGATTAATCACTGAATCAAATCACCTCCTGATAAAGTCATAGAATACAATTAGAATATAGCTAAATGCTCTCGACCAATGAAATTGTAGGATTTGGTGTCTCTTAATTGTGAAGAATGAATGTAAATCATTTTCTTAGTAAGAGCTTGTAATATTGTTTAGACCTAGTTGCAGTTCAAAACAAAGAGTAGATGTGTTACAACTGCCCCAACGTATATTGATCAGCTTGAAAGGATTTGTGATTGAAACTGAGTAAAAGTTGAAGTTTGAACGGAACAATAAAATCAAAATAGGTTGAAGTTTAATGGTTCAGTAAAAGTAGTACCGTAATGTTATTTTAAGAATGTTAATAATTTCAACAGTACTAAAAATTCAAACAAAATCAAAGCAATGCTAAAAAAGAAAATTTAAGATTAAATATCACCTAACTCTTTAGCTAATACGCTTTTCAAAACTCAGATTATTGGATCCACGGTTGGCAGAAATTGCAATTTCCAAAATTCCGAGCCAAAAAAATGAACAGAATTTAAATCAATTTTGAATATATGTACGAGGCATTTTATTTGAACATTCAGTTCTAATTTCATTACCTCACATAAAGAGGTATTTGATTTAAAGAATTGGACTAAAATATTGAATGTGAAATAAAATTTAGTTGTAACTAAAATTTTCAATTTAATGAGTTAAACTGTAAACAAACAAAAAGATAATTCCTCACTAAAATATTACATGATTAACATTCAAACTCACAATTGGGAGACTTATACAATTCCTACCATTTCATCGTGCTGTTGTGTCATCTAATGTCTAAAACTCAAATTATTATTTAATTCCAAAATTATGAAAAAGTCCTAACATCACTTAAAGAAATATGAATGAAATGCCTATAAAAAGGAAGTCATGCATTTTCTATGTTGTGTTTTGTGTACTTTTGTTTGTCTGTTGGTTTTTTTTCATTTTATTAGCCATGGCGTTGTCAGTTTATTTTCATCTTATGAGTTTGAATGTTCCTTTGGTATCTTTTGCCTCTCTTTTGTGAATATTGAACTGACAACTAAACGAATTCTTTATAAAAACCAAAACGAGAGATCGTTCGTGTTTGAGCCTTGAGAACTTTACAATATTCTAAGTTTGTAAGAGAATGATAATCCCTTTCTTCATGACAAGTACTCGCTAACGCTCTTACTTAATCATGGAGAAAGGGATTATCATTCTTTGACATATACATGTACTAAACACATTTTTTTTTTACATGTAATCAGAGTAAAATTTTACCGAGTACAAGCCAATCGTCTAAACTACAATTGACAAAGCACCTTAACATCCATCCTCTAAAATAACATTTTTTAAACGAGTTGAGAATCAAATTATGATGCCGAACTACATGTGTACAAGTCTTATACAATGTAAAATGAAATTTATAAGGGTTCATTCATACCGTTATCATTATTTGGCTCCGCATTGATACTTTGTAAAATTTCCTCATAACCACGCCTTCTGCGGCATATTTTGTTCCATAGAAGTTGTCTTGTAGTTTTATCAGCAATGCAAAATAAAATAAACGTAAAAAATGCCTTCGAACTATCGCCGAAACTTTCTAGATGCACTAGCGCAAAATTTATGTCGGCGAAAGGTTTATCGTTCGAAGAACTTTCAGACACAAATAAAAAGAAACGCACCGTCCCCCATATCCTGAGAAGATACCCGATCAGCCATAAGTAGAGATAGTTTTCATCTTCAGCCCTGAGTCGAAGAGATACGTCGTTAAATCGGCGTTGATTAAATCGTTTTTTCTAAAATATAAAATAAAATATCAATATATTGAAAAAAAAAAAAAGGGAAATACCGAAATAAGTTTTTAGAAAGATAAAATATCCACTTCAAATCAATGATTTGGGGGGTTTTAAGTAAGAAATTTAATGTTCACTAAACGGAATTATTATAACTCAAGATAGAATCAGAATACCTTAGTGTAGTAAGCGGCATAGCCAATATGCCAAATCATGACCTAGAATATTTTGATTATATTACATTTGAATATAACAGAAGAAATAGTTTGTGGGTAACATTGCATCGTAGTCATTTCAAAGTCATTGCTTTTCTAAAAAGTTGCGAAAGGAAATTTCTCTTAAAACTTGCCGTGTTGAAGCTTATTTTATATATTCAAAATATTGTTTTTGGCAAACCTAACAAAATAAGTAATGCAATTTGTGGGCTGATTTATCATACTAAAACATTTGAAAGGCAGGTTCACAATCAATCCATTTTGTGATCATTTTGTCACTTCGGTAAATAGTTGGTACCAATAAGTAGATGTTCTGGTTTTACTATCGGTCCATTTTTTTATTAGACTTTTTTCATTGTTTCACTTTTTGTTCATTTGTTTATGTTTAAATTTGACCAATTCTTCTGTATATGTTTCATTCCTAGATTCAATATAGGAAAAGTGGTGAAGCGAATTGGACTTTGATTATTTAAGAAATCTTTCTACAGTTGTCACACTGTCCAAAAATTGACACCAGATGGCAATACAAATATGAAATTTTGAATTTCACACAGAGATGGTCCCGACTTGGTCAACAGCCAAAGCAAGTACGATGCCAATAGAAGGTCACACGATGACACCCGAACCACACACACGATAGCCTTACGAAGGGCAAAATGGACACACGAATTCAACACTAAAATGAACCTCCGCTAGGTCTTTTTTTTGACATGCCAAAGATTTTGCTATAGCTCACGAAGTTTCTGCCGGAGCCTGAGGATCTGCAAAACCCAACCGACGGTCACACGATGGCTAAAGATAGTTTGTGCGATCAGATCCGATTTTGAATATTTCCTTTATCGTGTGTCCAGCTGGTGTCAATTTCGGGACAGTGTGACACAGGCATAACTATCAACAGTGACACTTATTTCTACAAATTAAGGTTTGAATATCAATAATTTAAAATTAAATAGGTTGAAAGTAAATTTCTTGAACTGTATTTTATGCATACCTGACGCCACATGTATCCTTTCAGATAAAAAAACATAAAACACGTCACCAAATACGAAACTAACTCCCATCCTTTACCGGAAATAATCATCCATGTTATCCGATCGCTCCTTGACAATGACGACTTAATCCAACACCAGGTACCAGTAACTTGGTCAAAGTCTTCACCTAAAACTTCACATTTGGCAGCCGCTATTGCTACGGCAACTACAATTTAAAAGCGACCAATGCTTAATAAAAGAATAGCTATAAATAAATTCGAAAAAATCAATAAAGGTATTAAAAACCGTCTATAGCCAATGTAATGACTTTGGAACATGAGTATTTACCTAAACCTTCGCATTTTTTCAGCCGCTACGAGTATATAAACTACAATTTAAAAAAGCAATTAATGCTTAATAAAGGAATAGTTATAAATGAATCCAAGAAAATAAATAAAATTGTGTGGATGTATAAAACTCCGCCCTGTCCGGTCTGTGTTTTTCTGCTTTGTATCGATCTGATGAGTTAAGTCCTTTTTCAACTGATTTTTGCAGTTTGTCTTATCTTGTACTGTTACACAACTGTCCCCTGTTAAGAGGAGGGTTTGGCGCCAGCAAACATGTTTAACCCAGCCACATTCTGTAAGTGCCTGTCAAGTCAGGAGCCTGTAATTCAGTGGTTGTCGTTTGTTGCTGAATGTCATATATGCTTAATGGGTTTTGTTCATTGTTGATGGCCGTATGGTGACCTGTGAACTTTGGGGACATTTAAATTCAACGGAGATTGGAATGTTAGAACAAGCTCAGAGATATTTCACACGATTTATCCTATGTTTTGATAAAAGGTCACCAAATGACTCTTGTATAAGTAATTTAGGTCTTTGGACAATAGAAGGTCTAATTGAATTTAAGATTTTATTTCTGGGTAGATTATGTAGAGCGTCTGTTACTACAGACTTGGTAAAATACTCATTGAAGACTTGGCGAAATCAGCAATAACTTATGATCTTATACAAACTTTAGCGAAATATGATATGTTATCATTCCTTGAAAGTTATATAGAGGAGGCATATATTCCAGATAAACGACTCTGGTCCAAAATAGTTAGTCAGTCAATAACAATTTTTGAAGAAAATAGATGGATACTGTCTGTTCAACGTCGACCGGAACTCAACCGTTATTTTAAAATACATTCTTGTCTTACAGATCATAGACTTGTCAGACTTTCAGCTACGGACCCTTTTTTTCAAAAGAGGTCTTTTACTACTTATTCGTTTAGGTTCTGTTGCCATTAAGAGTGGACAATGTACTATATGTAACCATTATACTGATGATATTGTAAAACACTTGATTCTAAACTGTGAACATGTTGTTGATATTCGAAATGAAATGTTCTATGCGATAGTCAACTTATTGTCGGTACAAGATTCTGTAAAACTATTTCAGCAGGACGAAGACGAAATGCTTGTGACATTACTCAATCAATCAATCAATACCACATCTTCTTATTTGTAAAGGTATTCCAAAACCGTCGATTCCCAGTTTTATTGACTCTGGAACCTAAGTCTTTACCTAAAAATTCACACATTACAGCCGTTAATTCTATGGAAACTAGAATTTGAAAAGCAGTATCTTTTATAAGGGTTATTAAAAAATGAATCCAAGAAAAGATAGACAGGTATTCCAAAATTGGCTATAGGTGAATTAATGACTTTAGTACGCAAAAATAATTTTTCAACTTGCATTAAAAAAAGTAAAGGAACGCTTCATAAGAAACTTGCTGCAATCAGGGGTGTACGGATTTAAAATTTTTTACAATTCTATACACCCATGATTACATCAAGATAACTAATAAAGATATGTGAACTAGGAATTGGTTTGCGTGTGTTTTAAAAATAAGTGTAAATTGGATTTCAAATACTAGTATTTGACTTTGACCCCTCCTCATGAAGTTAAACAGCGATTCGGACACATGAAATTTATAACTTGAAGTGTTATTTTCATTTTTTACAGCACTGGGTTCATTCCGCTGCTGGTGTACTATCAGTCTCTGAGGGTATCTCAAGCTCAGTAGTCAGTACTTTACTGACATGATTTAATCTGTAACAAACCTTTCTTAAATTGTCAGTTTATAAATTTAGAAATTGTAAAGAAACTAAAAGTTTACCTTAGATGGATTTGGCTATTATTTATAGGTTATTTTTGGTCATATAGATCTTCATCTGTTTTAGTTCTTATACATCCTTGAATTTCAAATATTCGGCTTTGAGCCTTCCTGATAAAGGTTGTTGTAAATGTGTTCACTGATGATTCCCATCGTATATTTTATAAGTATTCGTCGTAGTAAAGAGGGTAGAAGCAGCACATATAGCTGTAAGCCTTGCATCTCTGGGGTTTATTTGCACTGTAGAATTTAAGATATTCCAGTTTGTTTTCTTAGTACAGCTCCAACCCTTATGTGAATCAATCAAATAGTTGTTAGAACAGTGTACCTGTATGATAATATATCAGCTGTTCCAGAAGTTAAATAAACGTATCATTTTCTACTATGGATTATTTGTCCACACTACCAATGCTGAGAGAGAGCAGACATCAGAATTGACGGCCGGATTTATTTATCCCTCGTATAGTTACAAGTTTTATGAGTTTATTCGTATGTCTTTGCTTTAAAACTAAACAAAACATAGCAAGAAGCAGAAATTACGATATGGGTAAATCTAGAATAGCGCTTTGGACGCATGAAATTTATAAAGAGTTACTTTCATTTTGTAAGTAAAAAAATTACATTTTTTTGGCAGATCTGATCGATCGACATCAAGAGTAAAACACGTAAGTATGTGAAATTACAAAAAAATAACCTTTAATAATTTACATCCTTGTGTTTTGAACTTTGAGTGGACAATTGTCTCATTGGCAATAATACCACATATTCTTTATTATATCATAAAAGAATGAAAAATGCTACTGATATGATGTATTTATGTTTAACGCCCAGTAAATAGTATAAATAAGAAGATGTGGTATGAGTGCCAATGAGACAACTCTCCATCTAAGTCGCAATAATAAAAAGCTAACAATTATAGGTCAAAGTACGGCCTTCAACGCGGAGCCTTGGCTCACACACAACAGCAAGCTATAAAGGGCCCCAAAATGACTAGCGTAAAACAATTCAAACAGAAAAAACAACGGTCTATTCTATATAAAAAACGAGAAACGAGAAACACCTATGAACCACACCAACAAACGACAACCACTGGACAACAGGCTCCTGACTTAGGACAGGTGCATAAAAATGCAGCGGGTTTTAACGTTTAAACAGGCGCCAACCTTCATCCTAAACTGGGACAGTAGTGTAACATTACAACATAAAAAGACACACAATAAAATATCAATTGAAATGGCTAAACTAGATCAAAAAGACATTTAAAAAAAACCAAGTAAACATACACTGAACGAATGAGTTTGAGCTTTGACACAATATAAATACAATATTAAAACGTAGGTGCCTATATAACATAGACGTTACAGGTAGTAATAAAAAAGATGTAGGAAGAGTGTCAATAAGACAACTCTTACCTGGGCCAAATGGTTTTAAATAAAACAACGTACACAGGTAAATTTAAATATGATAATTTTGTTGTTAGGAGTACGGAAGTAAACATTTTTTTACAAAATAATAAACTTGATTCAAGTACGAGTACAGAAGTGAAAATATATCGTCATACTAAATACTTATCAAAGGTGGTACATATAAAATATAGTGAGACGACATTTAACACAAAAAAAGTAAACATTGAATTACAGAAAGGCATTACAAATTGTGTCAACAGGTCAAATTAACACGAAAGTACGATTTGAGAGTACTCGCAGTTACTGAAAGCTAGTTAAAAGCCAAACACAATTAACAATAAAAAATCATGCATCAGAGACTAAAATCAATTAAAACACATCTCAGGGATTTAGTGGTTTAACGCCATAGACAGTCAAAGAAGACATGACTTGTGCAATGCCAAAATAAAAGTATCGACAGGCAGTAGGATCGCTAGGATTCAACCTTATAATAAATATGTATCATGTTATATATAGATAAAGCAATCTCTAAATAAAAAAATTAACGTAAATGTGTATTTATACATCCCCAAAACCATTCGAAAAGAATACCATTTTAGTAATTATTTGATTTTTTGATGACAAAATCGATGTTAGTGCCAATGTAAACAATATTCAAAGATCTTTTTACAACATTAATAAGATAACCTTTACTAATAAGTTTGTTAAAAGGGTCGATGAGTTTACACGGATCACATAGTGATTTCTGCGCGTTTAGTACAACCAAATTTACTAATCAAATCTTTGTATCTATGAAAGATTTAGTAAATGTTTTAATTAATTTATGGTAACGAAATCCCTGACTTAGTAATTTACCAGTGATGCATTGACTACGTTCGTTAAAATCTATGACATCACTACACACACGGGCATAACGAACGAGTTGGGATATATAAACACCGTATGATGGAGCCAAATGAACATCGCCGTTTAAAAAAGGAAAATTAACAATATACGCATAACAGGACGACACGCTGATTCGGATTTTAACGTGCTTGCTCACAAGGTTACAGTCTACATGAAGAGATATCACCCTATCAGGACACATTATTCTGTTACCGAACCAACCAGTCTTTGCTCTCACTCCTATATGCCACTTCCGTAGCACAGAAGCCGCAAGTACCAATTTTCAAGTCTTTGGTTCGACCGGGGCGGGATCGTACCTACGACCCCCGCTCTCGATGAAAGCACACTGCCACGTGACCACCAAGGCGATTAATATATACTTACGAGGAAGAAGCCAACATACTGAATGACAGAATATTTTCACCTTCCACGACCATGTGCCATTTCTACAATAAACCAAGGCAACCCATAGATGAATGGCAATTGCTGTGTTCCAGCAAAATGACCACATAGATCCTGTTGCTGAAATGAAACTCTGAACAATACAAACATTATCACTCGCAAATTCTTCGCCAAAATTAGCATAAAGCGGTTTACTGTCGTAAATACCAATAAATCGTATAGTTCCAATGAAATTTCCGATGGCAACGAATAAATCCGAAACAGTTAAATATAACAGCAGCCGTCTCGTTTCATTTTCAGGCCGTAAACTGTCAACGACGCAGTAAGCACAAAAGATAAAAGCGGATCCTAAAAATGATAATGTGCAAGCAATGATGGTCAAAGTAATATCCGCAGCAAATACCGACAAGAGATTTATATGATCTGTATCATTGAATATTGGCATCCTCGTTGTATTAATCGTCACATTCTCCATTGTTAAATTTTTCTCGTCTGCTTAGAAAATGTAACTTTTTTTCACGTGATTATTTATCATATATAGCGGAAAATATTCAAAAACGTGAAATCTCAATATTCCACACAAACTCAAATAAAGTTAGAAAAGTTATACTATGTAAAATCCAATAGTATTAAGGATTTTATTTAAAATTAACAGATTGTCGACGCATACTGTATTGAAATTCAAGTCATCTTGTAATTGTACATCCACTTGAAAGCTAAACGATGAATCTGTTTTGTAATTTTAACCTATTAACCTAATTGTTTTTATCACAGGACAATTTAAGGAAATACATTTTTCTAAATACTCGAGTGCACGGCGTTAAGTGGTACACTATACATGAATCTATTTCAGTGCAAATAGAGAATAATCTCTTGTTGCAGATCGTTCAACATTGAGCCCTAGAATTGACGTGTGGTTAAGGATGGCAAATTAAAAGCCTTTTCAGGGCGATAACTTGATAATATGATATGAATATAAACCCTGCTTTGTATTAGACCGTGACTCTGATTATCAACGAGTTTGTTCAAAAAGTTACTGTCCACAAGAAGACATGTCACACAACCCAGGCGCATTATTTTGACTTAGGGTCGACCAGTCTTTACTCTTACTCTTAAATGTCACATGCTTAGTGGAGAAGCAGCAAATACCAATTTTCAAGTCAGTTCGGTTTTACCCGGACGGGGTTTTAACCCACGATCTTCCACACTCGATGCGAACATTTTAGGTCATCAATGCTCTTCAAATAAATTTGGCCCTTCATTTCTATTATTCGATCGTCATTAATGAGTCTTGTAGACGAAACGTGTGTCCGGTGTACACAATCATAAGCCTGGTTTCTTTGATGAGTTCTTTAACGCTACCACGAAACCAGAGAGGCGGTTGTATGGTAAAGGAATTTAGTCACTTGAACTTCTCTCGTCAGACAGTAAGGCTAGCTAATATGATATATATATATATGCAGCCTTGTCTGGTCGGAATTTGGATGTCGATTCCGATGAATCGCGAAAATGAGTGTATGTGGGAGGGGAGGGGGTAACATGCCCTCTGTACACTTTTCAGAAGAATGCTCTGTTGCAAGGAAACATTTCTACCCTTTTTCAATACTAGTATATAAAATTTTTCAATTAGCAGTCAAATTTCTTGCCATTCACCCCGTCCGACTATTGAACAAACCTTACGGATATTAACTTTTTTGCCCATAATATATGCTTGTAATATTCACCACTACCTATTTATCAAAAGCTACAATCAATTGTACAACGTTGACTTCCACATTTTTTTTGTTTTTTTTACAACTGAGTTTACCCAGGTAATTATGCTGGAATTCGATTGTCTTATTATTTATTGTCTGTGTAGTGTTTAATGGACCGGTGTTGAACTTTTTGTTATTCTTTTTGTTTTTTGCACATTGTATAATTGTTTGTTGTTCTCCGACTTACAGTTTTTGATTGACTCCTTAGGATCGTTCCCCTCTTTGTCAGATGTTAGTTAATTTATATCCTGTGTGCTCTCAGAGAGATTTAGAACGTGACATTTTAGAAAGATACTTGTCTCTTGTTGACGACCGTATCAAGGGCGTTACTCAGTTTAGCTGTGAATCCGGTCGTTGGTTTGAAATATCTGCAATGAAATTGAAAAAGAGGCGGAAAATACAAAAAAAAAACAAAACCCAAATTCAATAAGTGGACGAGATAGTTTCAAGACAACATCATGGAAAAAAAAAAACCAACAACAACCAAGAAATACAAAAAGACAAACAGCAGTCTTCAATACACTACATAGAAAACTGAACACTGAGCTACACGAACCATACCTACAACCAGGGTAATCTCACTTAACAGGTGTTCAGGAAGGGTGCTTTTTGAAATAGAAGCGATGGAATTTGGTACCGAAATAGTATAACACATGTAGTACTTGCCCTGTTAAAAATAAACTATACAATTTGGAAGAGTAACATTCAGTTTTCAAATATCTACTAAGGAGTTCAAAATTTTTATCAGACCATGGTCAAGCTCAAATATCAGCTTTTGAAATAAGTGATAATTGTGAATACGAGAGGCGAAAGATACCAGAGGGACATTCAAACTAAACTGACAACGCCATGGCTAAAAAAGGAAAGACAAACAGACTAACAATAGTACACAAAACACATTATAGAAAACTAAAGACTGACCCTACCAAAAACTGGGGGTGATCTCAGGTACTCCGGAAGGGTAAGCAGACCCTGCTCCACATGTGGCACCCGTCGTGTTGCTCATGTTTGTACAAACCGGGTAATAAGTCTAATTCGGTAGGTCACATTTAGAAGAAAAAGGACGAGATTGTAGTTACGACATTAGGAACATATCCGCTATCATCTGTGAAACGAATATTCCATAACGGTCAACCAACTCGTGATAGCGTCCGCAAAACTTACGAAGGGATGATTTCAACTTCACCACTTTGAACTCTTGGTTTTATAGCTTCCTTGCAAGCAGCAACCCTCTATCAAGGAAATCATGATAGGATATACAAGCCCTGGAATATCGTATCAACTGGGAGATATATACTCCGTATGCAGGCGATGCTGGAATTTCTAGATGTAGGTCAAGATATACGGCAGACTTAACTGTATCTGTTGTATCCTTTATCTCAAGTTCGATGGGATAGATGCGTTCAACATAGTCACCAAATTTTGAATTATTTAGTGAGAGAACATTATCTATACAGCGGAAAGTAAAGTTAAAGGATACTGCTAACATCTTTTCTTTCTTCCTAAGAAGTTCCTGTATGAAGCCAGCCTCATATGAAAAAGGAAGAAGTCAGCAAGAAGAGGGGTACAGTTTGTTCTCATGGGAATGCCCATTGTTTGTTGAAAAACACGTCCTCAAAACGTAACAAATATGTTGTCAATCAAGAAATTAAGTATCTTGATAAATGCCAGTTTCAGAGAATTTTTTGTTGGAATCAGAGTGAATTTTTACAAAGTAGGATTTATCCCTCCCTAAGAGAAGATACTTGTATCTACCATTGTCTACGTTGGCCATTCTTTTATATGAAACAAAGCAGGACCAACTCTTTCAATTTGCCTTTTAGTTTGGAATGGGGAATATTTGTGTAAAGTGTAGAAAAGTCAAATGTTTTAATACTATTGCAAGATGAAAGAGTCTTAGATTGTATGTATTCTAAAAGATCTTTGGAATTCTTTAGTATCCATATCTGATTCACGCCACCTCTAGAATATGTAGTTTCACAATAACTTTGAAGCCCGGCTTTGATTGCTGATAAAATTGATGTTAATAATTTAGAAAGAGGTTTTGTTGAGCACTTGGAAGACCCAGCAATATACCGTTGTTTGTAAAGATACTTATGTAATTAAGGTATCCAATACAGTGATGGAAGATCCAGTTCTTCATATTTGGTTGAAATTCCAAAGGAACATAGAACAGACCTATGATTATCCAGGATTTCCTCTTTAGTATGTGTCGTGGGGTATATGTTGAGTTTCCAAGTGAATTATCAATACCTAATTCATTTATCAAGCAGTTTATGTAATGCGATTTACACACAAAAACGATGTTGTTTGGGGCTTTATCTGCGGGGACAACAACATATTTGTCATGCAGGTAGGAAAAGTGTTTTGCAACATTTAGGTCTTTAAAGATTGAAGTAGCATGGGTATTAATAGACCCATTCAGTTTCAAACATGTATAAATCATTCCATTTTGTCCCGTGTATACTAGTCAACAAAAGAAGCGATACAAGTCAAAGAAATGGGATACATGATACAAGATTAAAAAAAAATGCATAATTGATCTAATGATTTATTAAAGTCTTTAAAGCAATAATAGCTATAGCACATGTATTCTCCAATGAGGACGAATTAACCAAAATAATGACAACACAGTTCATAATACATCATAAGAATAATAAAAAATATTATGGTTGTGCCTGTAAAAATCAGGAGCCTAGCTGTAATTCAGTGGTTGTTGTTTGTAGCTGTATATCATATTTGTTTTTTCGTTTATTGATTTTTACATGAATCAGACCGTTAGTTTTCTCGTTGAATTGTTTTACAGTTGTCATTTCGGAGGCTTTTTTGTAGCTTGCTATGCGGTATGGGTTTTGCCGATTGTCTAAGGCCGTACGGTTCCATATGATTGCGAACATCTATGTCATTTGGTCTCTGGACTAATCATGCAGTTGTCGAGTCTACTCATCTCGGTGACCATGACCTTTGTATGAATAGAGCAGCTTACGACATAACTGAAGGACATAAAAGATAAAAAAAAAAAGAAAAAGAAAATTCGAGTCTCAAGTTTTATTATTTTTTTTGTACATGTGTTGTTAATAGAGAAACAAAACGTAATGGTCTACAACGAAACTATAGAAAAACAACTAGATAAAAGGTAACAGATATAACACAAAAACAAAGTCAGTAAATTTTGTTCTAAGAGGTTTTTTCCCGGGATTTTCTCTTTAGAGACGAATTATTGTATATTTTAAAGATGTATTCCGGAGAAGTGAAGGTGTAGATAACCTTTCATGGAAGCCGGATGCAGCCAATTCCGCGTTTTTGTATTGTCGCCACTGTATCATTAAAGGCGAAAACGCAAAAGCGAATATGCTCAATTGAGAATTGAATTTTATTACGCGTTTTTCGTGATTTCGCTTTCACGTTTAAGCGATTTCGCGATTTCTCGTTTTCGTCTTTGAATATACAAAGGTGAAAACGCGAAATAGGCCGCATCCAGTTTCTGTAGGACTTTGTAATTTGTCAATTGATATAATCTAACAACTGCTAAAGAAATAGTCATGACAATATATTTTGCAAATTGTATTTTTTGCGCATGAAATATTTGCCACTGGGCATAAAACAAGCACACACCAAGCATTATTTAATCTGTAACGAAATTGCTTCCTTTCGGTAATAGATGAGTGGTTCAGCTAGGGAAGTACTCCTTTGGTTCAGTCTGTTCGAGCGCTGAATTGTTACACAGAGGTCCCGGGTTCAAGTCGCGGAGGAGACAATGTGATTCATGCTCTCCGGTTAAATTAAGCGCCCCACTAAACAAAAACACGGTGAACAGAGAAGATATCTAGCCTAGGGAATTACTTTTTTAACTCAATTGGTCAGAGCGCTGACTAGTAATATACAGAGGTCCCCGGTTGTTAAATCGAGTCTTGGGGGAGACAATGTGATTTTGTAGTATGAATCATACT